GAGATAATTTCATCAATAATTGGCCAAGGCAACCTAAAAAAGCATATATATTTATCTTCTATTGTCAGAATATCACACTGCCTATAGTTGCCTGACAATTTTACTTTGGTATCAATGAGTTGAGTCCATCAGTGGTTGAGGTTTAATTAAGCAGATTATTATTTCAAATTAACTTTGAATATATTTTATATTTGTTCTTATATTTATACTCAATTAGATATTGAATGATAAATACACCCCACATTTTAAATCAATTTTGTTGTTCTAATTCAAAATTCAACTTCACTATTAAAGTAGATTCACTCTACAGAAAGCTTCATTAAGGTTGCCTTCCAGTTTAACAGAATAACAAATAAAAAAGTACAAATTATATATTTTATAGTACCAACTAAGACATGTCTATATATTTTGTAAAAAGGCTGTATAGTAAGATGGATAATTGAAAATTTGAAACCCTCTGGTCGATCAAGGTTAAACATAAATGATAAAATGAACTACTAACTTTCCTTTAAAAGTATGCTTGAGTATAGTAGATCATATTCTGTCTCCGTAATTGGAAAGCAAACTAGAAATTATGCTGTCATACCACTGTGGCAATAAAATATTGTTCCCGCATGGACAACTTTCAACGAACAAAACTGACGATATTTTAGGGCAATCTGGATAATTTTCGTTTTAAAAGCATTAACATAACATCTTTTACCCACGGTGGAGTGATCAGCTTGGTAAAACTTCGCAAAGTATCTCAAATTCGGGAAAATTCACCTTGGTTCATGTTGTTCGCCATACATTCATATAGTAATTTGTATCACTCTGTGGTCCCCGGAAGTGATTTTCGCATATATAATTTGGCTTCACTTTTCACACCTAGAGAAGCTATTTTTAGACACACCTAGAGAAGCTAGGTTTTTGATCCACTTCTGTTTCCATTAAAGGACATGTTTATTTTTGTTTGTTATTTAGATATGTTGGAACTTGCAGAGCAGAGGTTATTTTTGAATGGATGGCCAGTGAAGTCCGGGATTGCTCTTTCTTCCCAGCAATTCCGAATTGCTGGTGAATTAATGGTAATGTCAATTCTACAAGGAGGCCCTGCACCAAACTTCTTAGATTCAGAAGTGTATGCATATATCAGTAGAACAACTTTGGACCCAGATAAAAATACTAACATCATGAACAAGAATATTGCAAAAAATGTAAGTTTTTCATTTGTTTATTAATGTACAGTTAGGAATTACAGAAATACAAAGCAAACTAAAGCATGTATTATTGTCCATAAAAATGTAGGGGATCTGTTTTATCTTTTATCAAAATGATGATATGTCAGCTGATAAAGATGTACAGTGTACAGTAATCTTCTCTAGTACTGACATAATTAACCCATTAGCTGGCAATACACCCAATGTGCCCCACTTTATGGTCTACAATGTCGAAATCAGTGGTAGAGTACTGCCAGTAAATATATACTGTAAGTATAGCTTAAGATTTTGGTTTACGAAACACAAACAGTGCTCAATACCATATAGATAGGGCGTAATATAGTTTTTCGTTTTACCTCAAAGAACCACAACAGTCTGTTTCATCCGTATAGGAATCATCAGGTGGTGATTCCTATACGGATGAAACAGACTGATGATTCCTATACGGATGAAACAGACTGTTGTGGTTCTTTGAGGTAAAACGAAAAACTATACTGTAAGTATATATAAGATACTGCTGCCGGTAATGTACTCAAAACATTCTGTTCCGGTTTGCTCCAGGGTCAGTGGGTCACTAGTAATTTGTGCAAATTGTACAAGTTAATGTTTGTATTTTTAAGTAATACTATCATTACTGGATACTTATATTTCTTTTTAAAGAAATATACTTATTGTTATTAAGCTTGCAAATGCCAAAACTGATGAAGAAGTCCAGTCCATTTTAACACAAGATGATGTGCTCGACAGCATAGGCTACAGAGGAATTCCGCAGAGAGAGACGACAACATCTGTGATTAATGTTATCAGGTTATTCTTGATTATTATTTTTTCTATTCTGCTCTTCCTTTGCATTGTATGTATTCTATGTAAAATCAATGTCAATACTTGCCTGTGTGGCAAATACTTTCAGTAAAACTACCACATACTACATGCAGAAAACTACATCTGCAGGGTGTGATGTCATTACACAATATTGAGAATGATCTGTAGGCCAATCAAAAGCAATATTGTATATTATGTAATGTGTAATAATAAACATAGGTGGATTTTTCACCCCCCCCCCCCCCCCCCCC